CCCCTTCAGTTTTGACCCCCGTGGAATTTTTTTTTCTTTTTTTTTTTTTTCTTTTTTTTTTTTCTTCCAGATCTGTGTTCTGTGTGAGCTGCAGTATACAGCCTGGTATAGTGTAAAATTTCATTTGTGACCACATAACATACTAAGGACGTGATTTAGAGCACTAGCTTGTTCTGATTTTGTGGTTGAAGCTAGGATTCTGGGTGTAGTAGTGCGAGGTACTCTGTGAAAGGCAAGTAGTTTGGTGATCTAAAGAGATGTTTCCAACTCTTTGTTCAAAGTTACTTGGTATCGATGTGGAATTTTCCAGCTGATGGCTTCTACTCTTTTATTTCTATTAAATGTTAACCTAACATAGAAAATAGACAAATGAGCACCTGAAAGCTAATTTTATTCCTTGCTGTGTTTAAGTAGAAGCGCTTGGTAATTATTTTGTCTTATAAAATTCAAGAGCTTTCTTAAGACAATAGCTCTTTCCTCTTTAATTATGCCCTTCTGGTTGTCTAGGAAAATGTATTTATGCTGTACTGAGCTCAAAAGTGACAACAGGGTACTTGAGGCGCTGTGCAAGTATGCTTCCTCACTGAATCCAGCCTCTTCGGCCTTGTCTGCATGAGTAAGTAGAACTGCAGTGAAATCCTTCCATGTGGGACCCAGAAGTTCCTGTAATGAAAAACAAATCTTAAATAGTTATCTTTTCTTGTTCCTTTTCCCCACTCCCACCTCATATACTTATGCATTAGCAGACCAGTTATATGTTCTTTTCCTGGCAGTAATCCAGTTCGTGCTATCTGAGTTACTGAAATTTCTGGGGGTTTTCTCCTTCCAAGACACTGACATCCACTTTCAGTGGAAATATGTGGTCGTGCAGTACTAGCAGTTCTCTGTTCTCCTAGTACAGATGTTAATAGAATTTCTCCAGTTAAAAACATCTATGTACATAAGGAAAAATGGTTGTTTAGCTGCGTCACAGATTATAAAAAAAAAAGTAAAATAAAAGTAGTTTACGTCAGTAGTTTCCACATATCCATATTTCTACACTTTGAAATTATTTTTTAAAAACACCTTGTGTTGAAAAAATTAATTATGAATTTCTATGTAACATCAATTGCAATTTCAGCTGTATCCCATAAAACTGAACTATTCTTAGCAATTCCAGAAAAACACAAATCAAATGCATCAACCTAAGGGATGGGCCAGAGAGTTTGTCTTTAACTGATGTGGTTCATCTGGTGGAGAGGAATGGAGAAAACAAGCTGCTCTTTTGTCAATGAGTATAAAAAAATTTTAATATGAATAAGAGATTGGGCTTTCATTTACAGATGTAAATGGAATTACAACTTTAGTGTAATCTTGCTAACTCCTGTGTGTGACGAGAAGCCTACTTTGGTAATAAAGCCCCCTTTGCAGTGATCTTAATTCTGTAACCTAAATACCAAGGTATGTAAAATTAAAGGATATCTTTCTACTCCCAAGATAGTGATTAATCTGTTTTAGACACTAGGGATGAAAAAAAAAAGAAATTAAACCCTTACTAAATTTTGGCATAAGTTGTCTGAGGAAGCGTTAGGTTAACAGTTGGGGAGAGAGAGGGTAGTGCCTTGATTTGCTGAGGCCTCAAAGTCAATGCTAATGTTAGTTCTGAAATCAACATCTGCCACTCTCAGTTCATTAGGCTATTGTTACTATAGTATTAAATCCAGAGAGATTTAAGTGCCAGTAGTATTCTACTGATATGCAATCCCTCATTTGCAGAGGATTATTGTAAAAACTACCGATGGCTAAAGGTAGTCTTCACAATAAGTCTTCTTGGAGTGGCATACTGAAATGTACCCATTACTGTGCATACTCCTGGCACCCAGGCAGCTGTCCTGCCCCTTCTGTTTGTGGCTGATGAAATCGCAGCATCTGGTCTTTTAAGGGGAAAATATCTAAAAAGCCAACCATTATATAAGCTGAGAGCAGGTTTTAATGATGAAACAGAAGTAAGTGTTGCTTCCTCATTATTTTTAATCAGGCTTTATTTCCTTTCCAGTAGGGGTTTTAAAGCTCTGTTTAAAGAGAAAAGGCATGGTGGCATCGTTTTTGCTTTTAATGCTCACATGGACTTGATCCAAAACAGTCTCAAACTAGGAGCACAATGATTTTTCATTTGCTTAGAGTAAAAATATTTTGAGTAAATAGTGCTTTCTCTTAAATACCATGAAGTATAGAGAGATGGAGAACTGTACAAGGAAAAACATAACACTGAAAACAAATGTATGTAAACTGACAGTGAGTAAGTGTTGAAATTAGAACCAACTCTTAAACTACTGGAAAAGTGAAGAATAACCTACCCATAGTGACTTATCAGAAAGAACAGGAGAGCAAATCAAACACATTTGGAAAGCTATCTTTATATATATATTGGTATATTTTTATCTACATATGCATTATATATTTAGATAATCAGTTACAGCAGGTAATAAGAGTTGATCAACCAGGAAGTTCCTTCCAATCCTAAAGGTTTTTAGGAAGTTTGTTAGTGTAAGACAGACGCAAAGTGTAATGTGCAGACTTTGGCAATAACTGAAACCCTTTGTTTCTTCATAAGTCATACAAACCTGACTCATCTGATGAGATAGATAAACTGAGCCATATCGGTTTGCTGGCGTCTTCCCCCTCCCCCCCGCCCCGCCCCAAGGGATGTAGGCATGGTAAGGAGAAATTTCCAACTGAGAGGAAAGCCATTCCTTCTCAGTGTCTCTCCCACATTATCTTACCTACTTGCAAAAAAAAAAAAAAAAAAAAAAAATTCCCCCAGGAGATGCAAAATATCTGCTTCAAGTCAGTTATGCTAGAAATTTTCCTTAGCCAGAGTAAATTTATGGTAACTTTCTAGTATTTTCTCTTGAACAGATACAGCGGTAGTGGCAGTGCAGGACCGAGCTCAGCATCCTTGTCTCAGGTCAGTCAGATTGCCTGTGTGATCCTGGACCTGTCCCTCTCTGCTTTGGTCCTGTACAGAGTGCAGTAGAGTGAGGTAACCTGACTTACGCTTGCTTTGAATTGCATTTCTCTTCAACAAGCTAGATCTGTCATGATTACCTGTAACTTCTGAGAGAAAAGCTTACTTTGATAGGTAAATTTGGTTCCTAAATTCCTTTGTCCTGAGCCCATGTACAAAAGAGAGCAGTTCTTGCCTGCCTCTCCTGAGGTTTAGTGTGCTAAGTGTAGGTATGGTGGTGGAGTTCTGAATGGTGTTTTTCAGCTGCTGGACTGGGAAGTGTTCCAGTTTTCAGCTGCACTTCTCTAGTTCACTTTTGCAGTCAGCTCTTCCATAGCTATTGTCACCTGAAGACAAAAGAGTTGCTGTTGGGGTAGAGACTTCTATTTATTTATTTATTTATTTATTCGTTACCTGGGTGAACTGAATCACGTGATCGCTTTCATCCGGACACAGAGGCGAGTCAGCCCGCAGGACCAAGAGAGCTAGATGCAGGCCTTCCTCCCCGAAGTGGTGAGTCAGGGCTGACCTCACCACGTCTCTCACCTGCTCTTTGCTCAGACTGCTGTGAGGGTAGCTTGGAGTGTCAAGCACTCGAAGACGGAGAGCCAGCTCACAGCCGTTTCTTCGTATAACCCCCGAAATGCGGCAGCTGTGTCCAAGGCTGCAGCATGTGGTCACAGAGCTTGGGGACCGGTGACTCTCAAAGTCCGAGCTGCCCAGCAGGCTGTTGCCAGTAGCGCTTTTGCCAGCCTGAGTTCTTCCAAGGACAACGAGGTTGATGGTTATCTCGTTGCTGTCTGCCATTGTCTGTCCTGTTATCCACAAACCTGTCACTAAGTGATGAACAAATAACATGAGCTGTTTCAGATAAGTTAAAATCCAGCAAGAATTGCAAAATTCAGTGGGTTTTGAGTGTCCTTCCATGCCTGAAATGTTTTTAAGGAGTGTGTGGTGTATTTTCAGTACAGCACATATACCTCTGTCTGATCCAAGGATGGATTTTTGCTGTCCTTCCCACTCTGCAGTTACTTATTTCTACATAACAAGACCCCATGGAAGGTGCCACAGGTACAAGAGCAACCTAACAGGCTGCGCTCCTACACTGGTAGAAACTGAAGAGCTGGGAAAGAATTGGATGCGAGAAGACTTTTAGGAACAAGTAAAGCAGATAAAGCTAAGGGGAGGCAACAGAGAAGGGAGGGAAGGGAGGAGTTGGGAAACAACTGCAGAAAACAGCATTGGCATGCAGGAAGAGTAGGTTGTGAAAAGGAGAAAAAATAGGGGATGAAGAAGAGAATGGTGACAAATATGTGCTGCAGTTACTAAGTGACCATGTTTCGGGAAGTAAATCTTCACTTGTTTTTAGGGGAAAAAAAAAATGGATAGTCAGGGAGAAGAGACTTTTAAAGGAGCACTTTTTCACAGCAGAGAATGTCTTTCATCAGCTACCACTAAAGTTGAAATAGACAGTAATCCAGAAGGGCTTTCTGATAAATTTTTACAGGTAAATGTAAGAAGTATGTCTTAATGAAAAAAAAGAAGAGCTGAAATAGCAGATTCTGCATGTTCTATCCCCGTATGAAAATGAGATTCTGGAAATGTATACAGTACAAACTATTAGATGTATGGCACAGTTAGTGGAAAAGCAAAGCATAGACTGGTGAATGGAGAGGGGAGATGGGTAAGTATCATTTCCAGTTACTATAATTGTTCATAAATAAGCCCTCTCATTCTCTTTGTACTGTTCTGTAATCCAGTATCTGAAGTGGTTTTGGTGCACGTTAATCATCTAACAGGAATACTGGCTGATTAAATAAATTTAGAGGTGTTTCAGATGGAAAACCATACTGTCAAATAAGTAGTTGATTTTAAGTTATCAGTGACACCTGAACTTCAGAAACTTTTCTTTTTTTTAAAGATACTATGTTTAGGTACTCAGAGAGATTGTGGATAATTTTAGAATGGGTCTTCCTGTGATGAATTTATTTAGATTCTTGCATGTGCAGTTCATGCTTTCTCCCTCTTATTAAATCCACGCCCAAATCAATCTTTTGAAATAACTTCAGTACAAAGCCAAACATTCAAGAGCTATTAACATGCTAATTCTGTTACAGGCAACATTGAATACTGTACATGATGATCTTACTGAATTCATGGAGAGGTTTTTGTGGATTTTTCCTTTTTTTTTTCTTTTAAGAATACTTTTTAAAAGACATTGTATGAAATGGTTGTCATCAGTTATTTAACAGTTGAGATGTGCATTGTATTCTTTTTCTGTAGCATAATAAAATGGTAGACATGCATTTGTGCATTCCTTTTAAATCATGATCAAGGATTTGTTTGTTTTTTTTCCTGTAAGCAGTCTACACTTAAATACTTAGATTAATTTCATATTATGCCACTTACCTTATTTTCCTTTAAATTCCTCTTTCTTTCAGACTTCATTCATAAACCACATGTGCAGTGTAAAAAGAAGTTAATATGTGAACTTTGAAACTAACAGCAGCAGTGTGCCACGCTGAGACTGTTACGTACAGGTTAATCTGGTTAATCTATTACTGATAGATCCTCATTCGATTGCATATGTCTGGTCGGTAATTGTCACTGTTGAATTTTTGCAACTTAGCTGCAGATACAGTTTTTGCAACCACTTCAGTGATTGTGTGAAGTTGATCTTTTTGAAAGTTCCTTGAGTTCTACCAGCAGTTAAATGTGGGAGTGATAATGGAGGTACTGGGACTACTTTCTGTTGCATGTTCTTGAATGTGTGTTCATATACGCATGTGAAGAGCACATGCACTTTCTCTTATTATTGCAATGAATTAACAGTTGCAGTACTTTCAAGGCACAATGTAAACCATATGCAAATGTAAAGCTATAGCAAATATAGCGATTAAAACCACGGATAAAAAGATTGTCCAGAAAGGACCCTTCACTTGCTTTTTAGGCAGTTTCCCACAAGCGGGAAAGTAACTGATTTGAACTCTTAGGCCTTAGTGGAAAATAAAGACAAATCTGTGCTTTAATGACCAGGTTCTAGGAATAGAACAAAAGAGTGGAGTGAGCCCTGCTTGTCTGTTCACAAGGAAAGTTTTAGATAAGCCACCTCTCCGACTGTAAATCCCCGGTGGGTGGAGGCAAGGATACTAAGGTACACAGCATTATAGTGAGGACAAGAATCTGGAATGTAGGCTGTCTGTGGCGGGAGGAAAAGAGGAAGGTGCTTTCCTGAGCCCAGTCCTGCTCGGGACATTGTCATTCAAAATGTAGCTCTGTGTGGGAGCCTGTAAATACTGGTTTACTGCAGTACCAGGTCTCTTCCTGCCTGCCACAGCAGCTTCAGTTCCTCTAGAAGCCTGTCGTCTCCTGCTGTGGTGCCACAAGCACAGCCAGTGCTTTGGCAGAAGGTTGGACCTAATGGTGCCTTCACAGCCTCCTTGTGTAAATTCACATAATTCATCGTGAATGACTTCGTCGTTTGTGTTACTTGGCTGTAGACGGCTGTGCAATAATTTTGTTGCTGTATGTTTTCAAGAGCACATAGGCAAGTTAGTTGCTTTCAGATAGCTCCCTGCTCTTGAGTCTGCCTATTCTGGCAAGAGGTGAAATGTTAAGTCTTTTCCTGTATTGTATGCGTAGCCGAGGCAACTGCTGATAGTTTCTACCATGTAAAGCCTTGCGGCTCAATTCTGTGCACAGCCTTTGTCTCTCAAGGCGTATTTATATACAAAGTGTATAGCAAGGTTCCTTCATTTGCCAGTGGATACAAACTCAGGGAAGACAGAGTGGGGGGCGACTCTCTTGTAAAGCAAAAGGGGTAGGTCAGTATCATGAAACTATGGATATTGTGAACATAAGATCCAGATGCTTCCTTTAATTTGCCTAAAAGTCTTGACTTTGGTTAAATTGTCACTGTCTAGTTCTGTACTTTTCATCAGGCTGTTCCTATGCTCAGTAATGCCTTTCATGACATCTGAGGTAGTCCATGTCCTAGCAGTTGCATCCAACTGAGCCAGTAGCTTGCCAAGGAGAAGATTTAAGCCGTGCATGGACGAGGGTTTGGACTACCAAGAAAGGCTAAAATCCCAGAAGCAGAGGAGTGTTGTATGCAAAATACAGCTTGCCCAGCTGGATGCAGAACTGGGCTTTTATGCTGGCAAGATGGCTTTAAAATTAAGAGTAGTGTAAGTGAGGTACTACTTAAATGATATCTAAAACTTGGCTAGGCAAAGTTCCCCACAAAAAAAGGTATTTCTTTCCAGTATTATTATCAATGTAATATAGTCCAAGTTGGGACACATCTGGAAGATCTTACAACAGCACAGGCAGAGGGTTTTAAGATGTTGTCTTCCTGGGAGGATATGACAGGGGAAAAATCCAACTGATTTATCTGACACTTGCTTAGGTTCCTCAAAGTATGTGGAAAGAGTCCTCCCCAAGGTGGCAGCATCAGCCTGCTCCACAGGTACGGTAAAACTCAGCTGGGGTCCCTTTGCTTTGGAGTCCTATGCTGAAATAAAATATCGGGTCACAAATGAGCTAAAGCATTAGAATAATTACATGAGTCTTCAAGCGTCTCCTGAAATAAGAAATGTAAAAAGAGTTTTGTCTCTCCTTTGTCACAAGAAACATTTTTTACTTTATATATAAAAATGCAGGCAGCACAGCACCTTAATGGATTTGAACAGCAGCAATGGAAAGGTAGCAGTTAAGGAACTTGGAAGTGTTATTAACTGTCCCTTATATGATTCTTTTTCTAATCAAGACCTTTGTTTTCACTAGCTTTTAAGTTGAGTTGGTGACATTTATTACAGGGCTTTCTTTAAGAGATCCTAAAATCTACTGTCAGAGTATGAATTTGCAAAGAACAAGTACAGAGTACAACAAAATTGCCTTGGATGCTTTTTAGCACTGCTCACTGCCAGTGGGTAAGCTATTTGTGTTTGTTTGGTTTTTTTTCTTTGTGTTTATATAACTTTATTTTTGAAATGGCAAAGAGAAAACCAAAAACTGAGCCTATTACAGATTGGCAGCCCAGGAAGGCTTCCTGTAACTGATAAAGGAAGCCTTGCACTGCTCCCGTAGAAATACCAATCAAGTCTAGTGAGGAATTACCAAGAATCTAAGGAAGTAAGGCCCCTAATCTAGGTGAAAGTAAGTAGCATTTGGGTATCCAGCTTCTTTGGTTGTCTTTGAAAAAACAAGGCTAATATAATTTGCAAGTAACCGTTGGATTTGTATATGTCTATGGAGTTAACTAGAGTTGCAATGCATCTTAGTCACATTACTGTGTCAGCTGCTTTTCTGTTGTAATCCTGGTGATCACCCAGTTGGTTTGCACGCACCATAAACAAGCTCTCCATGATGCTTGTTAGGGTATACCAAGCAGGCTAGATCTTGTAAACTGAAATAGCATCTCTTACCATGTGTCATCTTTCAGTTCCCACGCCTTCCCATCCCTTACAGCTTCTTTCCTGATGTGGGCTCTCATTTTAGCCCAAGTTGATGCCATAATAAGTAATTTAAGATGTGCTTTGATGAATTTCTCTTACTTAGAGAAAACCAAGTGAGGCCATTTTATGGATTGCCACACACGGAGGCAGGCTCTTAGCCTTCCCAAACAACATGAGAAATCCAGGAAGGTATGCAGTCCATGTAGTCAGTGTGGCTTCAGTTCTGTCAGATGTGTAATTCTAAATAACACCAGGCACGTCACTGCTGAGAGAGAGATAGGACAGATCTAGTGATGCTCTGTTCCTTTTGGACTGTGTTCACAACAAAAACTTTTGTGCCGATCCTGAAGG